CTCCTCACCTCCTCCTCTGGCTCCCCTCCCCGCCCTCCCTCCCTGGGCTCCTCTCCCCCCCCCACTCTTGCTCCACCTGCCCCCCCCGCCTCCCCCCTCGCCACCCTCCTCGCCGCCCGTCTCGGGCCAGTAGCCTCGCGCCAAAGCGGACGATCTGGCAGCCGCGCCTCGGCGCACTCGGCGCAGGATTGCGGCGGCGAGGAAGACGCGCCCGACGGGCCGGGAGCACCCGGGGGCCTGGGGGGCTCGGAGGCGACGAAAGGGGCGAATAGCCCAGGAGCAACTCATGTATCCAGGGGCGCCGATGATCCACGTCTTCAGCGAGGCTCCCGGAGGGGTGCGTGTAATGATCTCCCCTCATCTATTCGCCCCCATCGTCGCCTCCGAGGGGCGGCCGAGATGTGCCCCTCTCGGGGCTGGGATCTGGAGGGTTCCACACGGGTGCAGGTCGGAGGCTGGCAGAGGCCCCCACGTTGCCAAGCCGATGTGCGAAGTGCCATCTTGCGGTTCCCTGGAGGGTGCTGCGGCCGATCTCTTGCGGGCCCGCGCCCTCCGGGTCTGGTCCCGGGTCGTTTCCATCGAAGGGCGGCTTCTTCCAGACGGGGTTTTGTTCCCCCTGAGATTTGGGCCAAACCTTCCGCGTTTGGTCCCCCTTCCAGCCCTCGGAAACAGGGTCCAGACTGGGAGAAGGCACGGGCGAGTCGGCCAGCAGCTGGCTCCCGGGGTCCGCCCAGGGCGCTGCCGATGGCGGCGGCTGCGAGCGGGGGCCTCTGAGAGTCCCCCAGGGGGCTCCTACGCAGAGGGGCCAGGGGGTTCAGGACGCCGCAGCGCGGCCTCCCCTCGCCCCGCGCGGAGCCCTCTTGCGGCCGCCTCTGGTCGTATCATCGCCCTTGCGTTGCAGCCGGCTGGCCCCTGCCTCCCTCCAGGTTTAATCGTGCGGTGGCCCAGGCCAAGTGGCGCAGTCCGCGGGGGACGGCAGTGGGGCCACCTGCCATGCCCCTGGGAGATCTGGCGGAGCCGCTCACTGCCCGCGCTGGAGTGCCGCCTCGTGCACTCCCCCCGCACCAGCTTCCCAGGCGCGCCCCCCCGGCCAGGTCCCTGTGCAGCGCAGGCAGACGGTACATAAGGATCCACCCTGGCGCTTGCAGCACTTCGCACTGGAGCAAGGCATGGCATCCCTTGTGGCCCTCCTCCGTCGTCGTCCTCCTCCTCTGCCTCCTCTTCCTCCTCCTTGGCCCTCCTCCTCGTCCTCCCCCCTGCTGCTGCTCCTCTCCCTTTTCCTCGCCGACCCCCCCCCTCCTCTTGCGGCTCCTCCTCCTCCTCCTCCTCCTCCTCCGCTTCCCTCCTCCTCCTCCTCCTCCTCCTCCTCCTCCTCCTCCTCCTCCTCCTCCTCCTCCAGCTGAGTCCGCAATCCCGGCATGTGTCCCACTTTGGGACGCATGGCCAATGGGGTTAGTTCGGCGTGTCGGCCGAAAGTCCGCCACCCGAAGGAGAGCAAGGGACTGCCCTCCGGCGCCGCCGGCGACGGCGACGGGGACGGCGGCGGCGACGACGACGACGACGACGGCGGCGGCGGCGGCGGCGGCGGCGACGTGACGACCACGACGACGACACCGAGGACGCCGACCGTGGGGACCGCCGCAGCGAAGGCGAGGCGGAACGAAGACGACGACGACGACGACGACGACGACGATGTCGACGACGACGACGACGACGACGATGTCGACGATGTCGACAGCGACGGGGGAGGGGAGGGAGAGAGGGAGGAGGGCGAGACACACGGAGAAGAGAGGGGATGGGAGGGGGAACGGGGCAGTTCCTTTCCACCCCAGGGCGTGTGCCCCCCAGGGGGAAGCCGTGCGCGGGCAGCTCAGCCCGACCGTTTTGGGGTCCCTGCTGGTGCCAGGGCCGCGCGGGAGGTGGATGTTTTCCTAAGCACTGGCGGAATTGTTATCCTAAGCGCTCGCGGACATGTTCTCCTAAGCACTGGCGGAAACTATCTGGAAACGTAGACAGTGTTAGCGTAGATGGGGATTGGCGGCGGGGTGCTGTCTACAGAGCAGCCCCTTCGGCAGAAAGCCAAGACCAGCGTGGCGAGTCGGCCTACGTCTGGGCGCGCCGTGCTGGCCAGTGTTGGCCGCTGTGATCATGGCGCCCGTGTGGCTTTGCACATGGACGCTCAAGGCGCGGAGCAAGCTCAGGAAGAGCTCCGGCTTGTCCCGGTACGCCCGGCGCAGCCATGCCATGCCGCTCGCGTTGATTCGCCCGTAGCTCTCAATCATGAGGGGCACGACGCTGGCGCCGGGGTATTTCGTCCGCTTCTCGTCCTCCATGCGGCATGCAGCGGCGCCGTCTCGAGACGCACACTGCCGTTTCAGGGCCGAGTCCGTGCTCAGCACGTCGACGATGGGACGTCGAGAAAGAATGTTGTGCCCTCCAGCTCGACAACGATGTCTAAGCGTGCCTCGGACATCGTGCCGTCCGGCTTGAGCTTGTCAAG